CAAGGCGTGTAAGTCATGGCAATGTGGGCTGCAGTTGGCGGTAGGACTGTCCCAGGGTTGGTGCCTCCTGGGCCGGACTTAGCTCAGGCTCAGTGCTCAGGCCAAGGACAGGAGCTTGAGTGACTGAGCAGATCTTAAAATGGATCTGTTGTGATCCTGCAGCCTGGTCACAGTGCAAGAAAGGTCAGTGACACTGGGGAATCCAGACATCATACACCTGGGAATTCCCTCCTGGAAAATCCACCTGGAACAGTGTAAACCTGTGACAAGGGCAGGGAGACAGGAGGAGTGTGACCCAGGCAGGGCTCCCAGGCACCACATGCGAGAGGTCCTGGGCACATCTCCAGGCCTGGAGCGAGGCCCAGTGTTATGTAGCAAAGTGCTGGAGACTAAGGCATTTCTTTTGTCTGAGCGAATACAGGGAATACATAGATCAAGCGAAAAGGGGACGTAGATGAGGGAACAATGCTGGTGTCTAGAAATCATTGTAAGGCTCCTCCGGCCAGGCAAGAGTAAGACACACCAAACTCTTGGCTCCTGGCTCCTCAGCAGGGCCTTACTCCCATGCCCTCCCTACATGAAGATGCTGCGGCTGCATGCACCTGGTGCTTAAGTCCGACTTGGCTCCGGAGTTCAGGTGCCATCAGGAAGGGAAATTTTGGTGACTCAGTCTCCGAGGATGGTGCCCAGCAGCAGAGAATGTGGAAATTAGAGAAGCATTGACACATTAGCTTCTGTAACCGCATCACAGATCTAAGCCCTGTACAACTGTATTTTGTTTAATTTTTATTCACCTTCGAGTTCTCCAAGAAATGTTCAACAAATGTTGGCAGATTCTATCAGTCGTATGAAGGCATATAGATTTTACCAGGTAAAAGACTTGCATGCTATCTTCAGGGAGCTAAGTGCACAGGCGTCTCCACTGGTGTGACCCAAATTAGTTCATTAGTCTCATGCAGAAATGAAATGAAGCAGCAAAATGTGAAGTTTGTCTTAGAAACCGCCAGAGCAGTGATGCGTCTTTACCCATTTCTCTAGAGTTGGGAGCTTCTTGGATGTCACAGAATGAGCAGGTGGCCAGATGCAGCTGCTGAGCTCCTCACTGGCGAGCTGAGGCAGAGAGGGCATCCTGGGCTGCTGCAGATGTGAAAGGAGGACTGATTTTGGAGTGACAAATGGCGTGCTCGAGTGAGGTTGCTTGTGGGTCCATGAACCTGACCCTTGAAGGAGTGGCATCTGTGCTGTCCGTGTCCACTGAGCCAGAGCTCCTGCAGGCCCTCGGCTGCTCCTCTGTCCATCCTGTTCTCCCTCCAGACCAGTCCCTTTGGCACCGTGCTTTGCTGTTTCCAGTCATACGCCGCTCAAAGCGAATGAGACAGACTTGCACTCAGGAACTGCAGTTGTATTTGACCCACAGAGTCTGAAAACGCAGGATAAGAGGGATCTGGATGGCCCAGGCCTGGCGCTGGGCTGTGGAGAGCCCCACCCACCCAGTCATAGGAATTCACTGATAGGTTCCCTGATTTCTCCACAGAGATGTGTGTGTCCTGGGATAGACTGCAGTGTAGAGATTGCAAGAAATGATGATGAAATTGTGGAATTGTGTTCTGTCTCAGTTACTTTTCACTCATTGCTGGGACAAATACCTGACACACCACAGGAAGGAAGGAAAGGTTTATTTAGCTCACAGTTACTGGAGGTTTCAGTCCATACTCAGCTGGCTCCAAGGCAGAGTGGCACAGGGCAGAGAGTAACCTTTCAGGGTGGCAGCAAAGAGCAGAGAGCAAAAGCAAAAGGAGTAACAGCAACAAATGGCAACAGAGAGCAAGTCTGTCTTCCTTAAGTTGCATTCAGGCTCTGCCCAGGCTGGGTATAGTACTCACATCCATAATCCCAACAGTTCTAAGACCCATAATCCCAGTGCATCATGAGTTAATATGAAACTCTGTAAGTCACCCTTCCATGATTGCATGAGGCTTTGTGGGGGGCAACTAGACACGAATCATAACATGTTCCCTATATGCATAACCGTGAGCACTCTACCCATGAGTTCCACAGTGGGAAATTCAACCAATCTAGTCACAGATCAAAAGGTTTGAAAACAATACTGCATCTGTAGTGAACATCTCCAGACTTCTGGGAGGTCATTATTCCCTAAAAAACACAGTTTAATAAATTGGATATGGTGACTCAGGGCTGTAATCCCCATACTGCAGGAGGCTGAGGCAGGAGGATGCAAGTTTACATATAGCTTGGGTGACTTAGGGAGCCTCTGTCTCTCTGACTCTGTCTCTCTGTCTCTGTCTCTCTGTCTCTGTCTCTCTCTCTCTATATATCTATATATTTGTATATAGCATTTTCATTGTATTAGGTGTTATAAAAGATGATTTAGAGTACATGAGAGAATGCACATTTATAAAGGGACATGAGTATACAGAGATTATAATATTTGCAAGCGTCCTAGAGCCAGTCCCTTGTTGGTACTGACAGCTGTATGTACCTTTTCTAAAACAACAGCAATAAAAGATCCAAAAGAAGTTGTCAGTACCGCTGTCCAGGTTACATTATATTATTATCTTAGTGATGACATTCAAGAAAGCTATTCCATGTACTCATTCAACAAATGTGTGTTGGGAAGGGGCCTGCTGCTTCTCTCTCTCCAATCGTCAGGCGCTCCCTGATGTGCACTGGGCTCCTGTTTGTGCAAAGCAGTGGTATAGGAGTTGGAAACCCACTTACATAAAATGTCTGTCTGGAGGATGCTTATTTTCTGAGTGGGGGTGAGGAGTACTAAATCTGTGAGTCACTTGATCCTAAGTGCAATTGGTGAAACCAGAGCAGGACGCAGGAGCCAAACACAGCCGAAAGATGGGAAGGGGTGAGTTAGAGATGGGGTCCTAGAGGGGCTGATTGGGAAGGTAATGCTGGAGCAGAAAAGGAAGGACTGGGGGAGGGTGTGATATGGGTGTCTGGGAAGGGACGCCCCTGGCCAGAGGGGCATCAGGGGTGAAGGCACCGAGGCAGGGCGTGCTTGGCGTTGCTAGGGAGCACCTGATGATCGGAGAGAAAGAAACAGCAGGTCCTTTCCCAAGCTGCCATAGAGCCAGTGTAATAAACAGAGCTTCCGGCCCTAGCGGGGGAACAGCTCTCCAGGTCAGTGCCAGAGCTCATCTGCTGTTACTGTGCGAAGCTCATTAATTTTGTCTCCTTCCCCTCCATGCCCTGTAATTATGCTGCAGATTAAAAAGGCGCAGGTTTCCTGAAGGCAGCGCGCCCAGATGTCTGAGCCGCACCACTCAGCCATGCACCACCCGAGGTGCCGTCCTCCTGCTGTTCCTCCCTCATGCCCTCGCTTTGTAGACTTCTTGCTTATCCTGAGCCACGCTATCCATGCCAGTCCTAGTCTGAGGTCATAACTGTGCTTCCAAGAGCCTTGAAGATAAATTTGCATACATCTGGGAGATGAACAGAGCTTCGCTTTTAAGTTCTTTCTGTTTAAGCTTGGAAATTGCTAGCAGCACTTCAGGTATCTCAGGTTCACAAGCAGCTTTCACGGGCGATGGCAAATTTTAAGAGTCATTTCAAACACCAAAAGCTGATCCCCAGTTTTTAACCTGCACTATATTAGCAAACAAAAATGATTAGCTCTAGGCAGGAAAACTGTAAGAAAAAAATGGACACAGAAGTTCAGTAACTTCTGAAGTACAAACCTGTAAATTATCACTACATTTGCTGTGATTTATGACTTCCCCTGGTGATGAAAAACAAGTTTTACAACATCAAGGTTTAGATTCTAGTTATGGTGAAAGAGCGTAACAGCACAGAAGGCTTTAGCTTTCAATAGGAAAATGCCAGAAAAAAAATCCTGTCCCTTGTGAAGGAGAAGGACACAAAGTTAGGCTTTGTTGACCTGCTCAGCCTGTGTTATGACTTAGCCAAGCAAGACTTTTATTGACTCACCAAGATGTAAATTCAGTTTTGTTTTGAATACTCAGAAGGCTGTATTCACATTTAAAATTAAAAAAAAAAAAGCAAAACAAAAACTTTTTAGATTTAAGTGATTCGTGAGTTCATTTCTCTTTGGGATAAATTGAATTCCCCTCACTGCACTTAGTGCCGCAGAGCAGTGTACTTAGAAATGGTAAAAATGGTAAGTTTCGTTGTGTGAATATTACCACAGCTAAAATAAGAATTCCCTTTGTGATGGAACACTCACATTTATTGTTCTGAATTTTTCTGCTTCAAAGGTTATTTAAAAGTATTGGAGCTGGGGAGATGGCTCAGTAGGATAAGCGCTTGACTGGCAAACGCAAGGCTCTGAGTTCAATCCCTGGTTCCGAAAAAAAAAAAAAAAAAAAAAAAAGTATTTTTCTGCTTGGTTTTTCAACAAAAAAGTACTCCCTTTTAAACCATGTAAGATTGTATGCCATGTGACATTTTGGGACACATGGCCCCAGAGCATGTGGAGACCCAGCTGAGGTGCTCAGGGGTGTGCCCTGGGACCCCATCAACCACTTAGTGTGTGTGTGTGTGTGTGTGTGTGTGTGTGTGTGTGTGTGTGTTGCTGAACCAGAGATTGAACTCAGGCCCTTGTGCTTGCCAGGCAAGTGCTTATTCTACTGAGCTATCTCCCTGGCCCCCAGGGAAGGCTATTTGGAACAGCTAAGTGCTTCATCTGAGGGAAACGGCTGCTCATTGTGTTCCTGCTGTGTGGGGTCCGTTGTGCTTGGCACTTTCTAAAATTCAGCCCTCACTCGATCTCTACCAGATATTCTTCCTTGCTTTCCTCATGGGGAAACCGCCTTCCAGAGGCTTGGTGAGGTCCCCTGAGGGATGCAGACAGGTAGCGGCGATCCCGCTGCCCGTATTGCTGTCACCAGCACCGCCTCCCCAGGCGCCCCGAGCTCAGCAGGGTCAGGTTTGCCTGGTAGCCCTGTTCTTGCAGGGAACTGTGTCTTCTCTCACCAGTGCTCATTTATTTTTATTTTTTTTTAAAACAGAAGAAAGACTCTGTGAAGGTAAAACAAGATGAAGAAATAAAGCAAATAGATGAAGAGAAAACCAAGCAGATTTATAAGAGCTGGAAAGAAGACTCGGAGTGGCAGGCATCTTGTGAGTACCCAGGGGTCTCTAGTGCCTTTCAGCTTCTCAGCTGAAGCTTTTACATAATAAAATGATCAATCGAAGAAGCCCTGAAAGTGACTCATCAAGAGTTATCTTCATGCTGAATTGTACTTGAATGTTCTTCCCAAACCATCACTCAAATGTTTATGAGCTCCTTTTGATTACCAGAGTGATTCTTAATTTGTCTTTAAGGATGATGACATCTCTAGGTAAGGGAATGATCTCTAGCTGTGAAAAGCATGCTTTGGAGGAGTTTTTAATGACTTGGGAATATACTTTTATCTCCTTACACTGGAGAAGTAAAACACTATAAAATAGCATGAAAAAAACATCACTCGTTTCAAAAACCTAAATTATGAATGAAAAGAACTGAAATGTTAATAACATGTTGACACTAGTTTTCTTGGAAGAATGGGATTTAAGTTTTTTTTTTTTTTTTTCGGAACTGGGGATTGAACTCAGGTCCTTGCACTTGCCAGGCAAGTGCTTATGCTACTGAGCTATCTCCCTGGCCCTAAGATTATTGAATCAATGGCCAATAATTACATGAAGACATGTTCAACATTGCTTAAAATAACGCTGAGATTCCACCTCACTCCAGAAAGAATGCCTTTCTTTAAGACCAATGATAAATGTTGGAGAACTTGCTTGGAAAAGACACTTCTTCGGAGTCGGTGGGAGTATAGCCTCGCACAAGCACCAGTGTGGAAACCAGTGTGGAAATTTCTCAAAAAAGTAAAAATAGAAAATATGTTGTCCTACCTATTCCTCTTCTAGATATCTTCCTGAATTAAAAGCATCATATTTTAGCGAGACATGCATACCCATGTTTATGACAGCACAATTCATAATAATTAAATCTGGGAGGCAGCCTCTATGCTCATAAACAGATGAATGGAGAAAGAAAATATGGTATTTACACATTGTGCAGTACTACCCAGCCATAAAGAAGGACGAACTTGAGTCTTCTTTTTTCTTTGAGAAAAATTTCAGGTGTTATATTGCTTTTGCTTTGGTTATTCCTCGCTTCTATAAATATGATACATAAAAATATATTTTGTTAAACAAAGTGATATAACCATCAAATCACATGTGTATTTAAAACTTGTAACAGATTTATTAAAAAGTTGTTTGTGTGTGTGTGTTGTGTGTGTGTGTGTGTGTGTGTATAGTAGTACTGAGACGAGAACTCATGACCTCACACTTCTAGGCAGGTGCCATGCCACTGAGCTGTTTCCTTGGCCCAAACTTGAGTCATTTGTAATAAAATGATGCACTGTAAGACTATAATATGAAGTGAAGTAAGTTAGACACACAGCTTAGCTATCACATGGTTTCTCTTGTATAAGAAAATGAAGAGTGAAATAAAATACCGATAATAGGAAGTAGGGAAGTAGATTTTTCTCAAGTGGGAAAGGAATCAGGAGGAGGAGGGGGAGAGGAAGTGAGGGGACTGACAAAAGAATTACGATGTGTTAAGTACAAGTACCAATCCCCCTGAGGGTTGTAGTCATATAACGCAGACATATACTAATAAGAATTAAAACTTTAAAACAATTATTCAAATTTTTATTTCTTGCTATTCTGGTTTGGATTTCCCCCCTAAGTTGTCAGCAGTAAGTGCCTTCTTCAAGTTTCATTTCCTTTGTAACCCACACACACCTCGTGTTCTTATGGGGTGCAGTGTGATGTTTGGATATATTGTACTACACCCCACTGCTGCCTCTGACCCAACGACCTCTTACCGAGCTTGCATTGCCAGGAATAATTTGCATGGGGGAATCAGCCAAAGCCCATGGAGGCCGAGGACAGGATGTGTCAGGGTGTAGAATTCAACTTTGAGAAAGGATTAGGGCATCATGACAGAGAAGCCTATACCTCCCTCCAGGTAGCTCAGCCAAGAGAGCAGAAGTGGCAATATTTGTAGGACATTGAAAATCCTGCGTTGATTTTAAATCCCATTACAGCAAATGCCATTAAAGTCTTTTGTGAAACAAAAATATTGTGACGATCCAGTCAGTGGCCACCTCGTGCTATGCTCCGAAATCCCAGGATAATTGGACATTTTTTTCTATCTTTTTGAAGTCAAATTTATCATAATTTGGCCAATAATGTCTGAAGTACACTCAGTAAAAGTTATCTTCTGTTCTGTTAGTCTTTAGCACCATGTGGCTAAAATAACCCCCAAGTCCCTCTATACTACACAGTGACACTAACAGGCAGGCTTGTGTAAACTCTATGGGTACCCACACATTCTACAATGATCTAGAACATCCTTAAGATTAAGCATCACTTTAGTTTTTCTCAGCAGGCCAGTTCATATTTGGTTCAGCTCACAATAAAGCCCACTGCTCTCCGCCCTGCCCTGGCCACACAGCACCAAGTGGTCCTGCTTGCCAGGTTTCTGTAGTAACACTGGGCAGCTGCACACAAACGTGTGAGGGATGAAGCCCTGGCCTCTTACTGTTCCTTGCCCTGGCCACTTGATGAATCCTTGCTCAAGCTGGGGTTCATCACTTAGCCTTGCCAACTGCAGGGAATTCTGGTCCTTTCTCTTCTTCCTTTTCTCTGCTGGCAAAATCCCCAGACTCCCAAAAGAAGAGAGAATTCTGAGGTGACTCTTGGGTGAGCCCCAGCATCAGGGTAACAGTGCTGATAGCGATTGCTCATGAACAGAAAGAGAAGGTGGCATCTGCAGAGCTTGTGTGTCCTGCACTTTCTCACATCTCTGCGGGCTAACAAAGGCCTATCTCAAACCCTCTTGTTCTAGTGCGGAAATCCAAAGCAGCTGATGAGAAGAGGCGCTCCTTGGCTAAGCAGGCCCGGGAAGACTACAAGAGGCTGTCGCAACGTGGAAGAAGCGGTGAGGGTCTGCAGGGTCTGGGTGTTCCACAGAAGCCCAGACGCCCTCCCCTCCCACCCAAGCCACAGTTCCTCGCTGCAGTGGGATGCCCACAGAAGCCTCTTGGGTAAGAAGCCGCGGGATGGCTTTGTGCTCAGCTTTGAGATGTATTGGTTACAGACCCATGTGCCCTGAAATGTGCAGGGCCTGCCAACTGCTCGTGTCTTTAGCCTCACCTCTGACACTTTCTGGGAGCTCCAATGTGGCATTCACCCTTCTTTTACCTACAAAATAGCTCCAATAATAACAATACCATATTGCCAATAATATGGTGGAAATGAGCTCACAGTTAGGTGACTTCCTGTGCCCTCTACCTTCCCGGTGGCAGTGAGTGAGCAAGAAGGGGCAAAGAACACAAACCCTGGAGATGCTCCTCATGGTAAAAGAGGAAACAGGAGCTTGGAGACTTGCTGACTTTCATGTCACTAGGGCTAAATTTCACTGCTGCAAAGTGAGCATTTGATGGCTGCCCTTGCTTCGAGATACCCAGCCAAGTGCAGATTTTGAGAATTTGGAAATTGTGTATTTGGCCATGGTCCCTTCACCTAGCTGTGGGGGCACTGGGAAAACAATTTTGGGAGAAACCCTTCAAAGAAGAGCACAGTGATAGTGTAGCAGAAACTTCCTACCTTCATGTCAACTGATGAGAAAGCGCTTTGTTCTTGGCTACTGATATTACCATACTTTTAGATAATTTAATTGTTACTTACAGGTGCTGGGAATTGAACCTAGGGCCTTATTCACACTGGGCAAATGTTCTACCACTGAACCATGTTCCCTGCTCTAATATTTAGAAGGGAACTATTTGAAATCAGTTATTGATTGAGTGAAGTAGAATTTCTGTAACTTTGCGTTCTGCAATGAAAACTAAAAGTACTTGTCAGGTGTACTGTGAAATGAAAAACAAGCCAAAATCTCCTCTTGCTTGGAGCCAGTAGTTATTTTTAAGCACATTTCTTTTTTAATAGGGATTATGACCTCAGAGGAAGCACCAAGGTAGACCTTCTCCTCTACTATAATTACTTCCACTTACTCTACTGAAAGGTTCCACTTTGAGATGTAGGCACCAATTCTAGATGACAGTGTTCTGCAAAGTGACAGTCTGGGGAATGAGTTTTTTCCTTGTGAATGACAGAAAACAAGAAAGATAGGATGTGGCCCCTTAGCCCCGGTCCCACCGGCATGTGGGCCTTCTGTCTCACGTGGGCTCATCCCTGTGTGCTGGCCACAGAGCCTGTTCTGGAGCTCTCTGTGCAGCCTCTTCACTGTCTCTGCAGTCTCCGAGGGCAGCGTGAGGCTGCGACCTCTCAGATGTCCCTTTCCTACAGTATTTTTACAGCACAGTGTACTTAATTGACAGCAATGAAGTGGCCTATAAAAAACAGAGCAGTTCTTATAAGCTATGTTCAGCCTATCTTTTCCAATTTAAGACACTGCATGAAGTGCTGCTGGGTATCAGATGAGATGGGGTTAGGGTGGGACTCCACAAACCACAATGGCAGAGGGCAGCCCAAAGCCAGCCAGCAGTGGATAGAGACTGGATCTCCAGTATCTCTGGTATTTCGTTTGGTCTCCAAGGATTGCATGGACAAAAAGAATCTCATGTGAAAGCTATGCTATGAAAGTTTCTTTCATACTATTACTATAAAGTGCATCATAATTCATACTATTACTATAAAGTGTATCATAATTCATGTATATAAAGTGTCTACTTCTTGGGGAAGCCACATATTATAGGATAATTTTTCCAAAATACTCTGGAAATCTTGAGAGATAATAATGCGTGTGTCTGCATATGTGTATGTACATGTGTCTACCTGACATTCATGACACATATAACTGATGGTAGTGTGTGTTACAGCAAAAAGCATAAAGAGCCTCAGGTCAACTTACATTTCAGGAAATTCCAATCGCTAAGCCAAACATTTTGGCTTTGTTTTCAAACTGAATTCATCTCGGGCTGCTGTGTAGAACTTGGAAATAACGCTTACTGCCTTGTAACACTGCATTTTGTAGTGGAAACTCACTCATATTCCAGACCTTGAATTCTGCTCCTAAATTTATTAAAAATGATTATGTTGCTTATTTTTCCTTCCTAAGCCTCAAATAGTCTTCTTCCTTGTGTTTCATATTCCTTGCACTGTCTTTTTAGCAGAACTAAGGCTCTTCAAAGCATGGGAGAGATAGTAATTGGAGAACATTAGTGGGAACAAAGAGAAGAGAAAGTCAAATAATAATTTTTTTTTCTACTTGGGATCGAACTCAGGACCTTGTACTTGCCAGGAAGGTGCTTAAGCCCCTGAGCTATTTTCCCAGCTCCAAATAATAAAAGTGACATGGAACAAATTTATCTTACCACATGTGATTTATTTTGTTTGAAATTATATACTCTGCAGGAAAGTACTTTGGGGTATATTTCAACTTTTTAATGGTTCTGCTCTCAGATTTTAATTGGGAGTTAATGGACCTTCTAATTCCTATTAAAAATGAATTTAAATCTCATGTGTTAGCACAACAGTGGCTCCTACCTAGGACAACCATGTAGGACTGGAAGTCAAGTGACAAATTAATGTTCTTTCCTCTCTCTGCCTTAAGGAGTTGTAAAGTGGTGGTTCGTAAGGGGCACGGCCTCCCACTAGCTCAGACCATGTAACTAGATGTTGGAATAATAATGTATATAATACTCTCACATTCTTACTCTTGCTTTCTCTCTGTCTCCAGCTCTCTCTCTGTCTCTGTTTTACACACACATGCACACAAACACATTCACACATACACACACGTGCACGCACGCGCGCACACAGACAGACAGACAGACACAGTTGTCCCTCAATATCTGCAATGAATTACTTCCAGGATTCCCAAATGTATCAAAATCTGAAGGGTCTCAAATTCCTTATATACAAAGGCAAGAATTTGGACACATCCTCCTGCATGTTTTGAATCATCTCAAGATTACTTACAATGCCTAATGCATTGTATATACTGTCTATTTAAATAGATATTATATTGTTTAGGGAATAACCAACAAAGCAAAAGTCCATACGTGTTCATTGCAAAATACTTCTTTTCCTTCGGTATTTTCGACCTTTTGCTGAATCCAAGAATGCAGAGCCCAGTGTACTGAGGGCTGAGAGTGTGTAATGTGTGTGCGTGTACATGTAGTTGACTGCCCTGCACACTGTCTTACACATCACAGAAATCAGGGCGTGTCGAGGATGGCATCTGGCTCTGCCCATGAGGACATCATCCAGTGGTTCAAAGAGGAGCAGCTTCCCTTTCGGGCTGGCTACGAGAAGACCTCAGATACCATCGCTCCCTGGTTCCACGGTGAGTGCAGAGATCTCATCAGGGGTGGCCAACACCGTGTGACTCCAACAGGAAGCCAGGGAGAAAAAAGCTTCCTTTTATCTGTGCTGCCCCCAGAGTCTTTCAAATTATGTTCACCAAGCGGTTTTTCAGAGGTTTTCAGGAGGCTGACTTCGCTTGACTGTTTAGAAAGCAGTCAGCATTCGTGGTTGCTGTGTGTGCTGCGGGCTAATTCATCACCCCAAGTGCAACCTCGGGGTGGGTAGGAGACATGGGGCTTCCTGCTGACTCACGAGCAGCACTTGGTGATTCCAGCATGCAGCAACCTTCCTTCTGCCCAGGTGCCAGCTGTGGCTGTTGGGTACTGTGGGACAGTAGGACAGGGACCAGCGGGCAAGGAATCAGGCTTCCACCCAGGTTTCCCACTCAGCAGTGGCATGCAACTGTGTGCAAACTATTTTCTTTCTCTGTCACAGATCAACTTATTTGAGCCTCATTTTTCTCGTCTCTCAGTTGAAGGCGTTGAACTTTGTGATCTTTAATTTAAAAGCCCCCTTGGCTTTGATCCCTTGTTCCTGGTATGTAGCTAAGACAGATAACAGCTAATAAATCATTTCTGTATTTTATTGGGATAAGATAGAGTTAATACAGAGGCATGTTAAATACATGCAGGGCATGTGGGACAAGGAAAAAGAAAACAGGACAGCAACAACTGCGGGAGTAACCAAGAACACTTGGAACTCAAGGACACCCTGTTTTTGTGTCCTTGCTCCCAGATGCCTAGCAGGTTCTCACATATAGCCTAAACATTAATCCTGGACACATGCAATGGGATCTTGTTATGTTCACCTAAAGTAACCCAAAGGCTGAGACTCAAGATGTATAAAAATAAAGACTGAAGATGGGGCGGCAGCCTTTCCCTCTAGCCCTCACTTTGCTTGCATTGAGTGTCCGTGTGTCTTCGTTTGCAGCCTGCACCCGTGAGTCTTTCCCAACAGTATTTGACCCAAGAAAGTTGATTCAATGAAGCCCCTCTGTCTACCCAGCTCATAGACCCTCTCAGTTTCTTAGATTTCAAGAAAAGTTGGTGCCTTCACAGAGCTCTGTTGGCTTCTATAAGGTCTGTGGCTCGGGATGAGGTATATCTTAGTTCTGGAACACTTACCTCGCATGCACAAGGCCCTTGAATTCACTACCTAATGTCACACACACACACACACACACACACGCATGCACACAAAGTCTATATATGGTTCAGTTGGACCAGCTGTCTAAATAGCCGTCAAAAGGTGATCTAATTTTTTTTTTAGCACACTTCTCTTGGGGTACCTTCTCTTGGGGTACTTGGTCTGAATTATTTTTAAGGCATTGCTCATGTAAGTAGTATTATTGCTCCTATAGACTATAAGAAATAAGCTTCCAAATATACAACATGGCAAACTCGTTTGAAAAGAACAAAATTATTCATGATAGCATGTCTTGTAAAGTGTCATGTCATAGCCAGCCTTCCATGTGTTCTTCTTTGAAGAAATTGATGTCAAAGATAGGCAGAAAGACCCATGGCCAATGACATGGGCTTTTCCCCTGACTATTGCTGCTGTCTGACAGTGACCTTTTCAAGAATATATATATATTTTTGTACTGAGAATCAAACTCAGGACCTTGTGCTTTCCAGGCAAGTTGCTGTGCTGCTGAGCTGTGTATCCAGCACCTCTCCCTTTCCCTTTTAGAATTAACACTGAGGTAATTGACCCCTTTGTAGTTTCTGAGTCACTGGGCAGAGGATGCAGTCATTGCTGATTACAACAGTGGAAAGTTTTGTTTTGACATTAGAGAATAAAAAATGGAAAATGTTTGTTGATATTATTCAATGCCTGGTACTTGAACTAGTCATTCTATTAGAAACAGTTGCTGAAAAAGACCAAGTGACATGCCAGCTTCATTTATTTCACTTATGAGATGATTCAAGTTGTACAATAGGTATTATGAAATGGGAAGAAACTGTGGAATAGGAAAGAGAAACTGGGATGAGAGAAAGGAGAAAAAAAAAGAAGGGAAAAAAAAGAAGGGAAAAGGGAAAAAGGTATATATATATACAAGATAGTTAAGATACTTGTACTACTAATTTCTCTTCATTCAAAAGAAGGATTTGTGCTTATACTGTGTGGACAATATTTCATACCTGTATCTTGTACTCTGAGTAACTATTTTGAAGTTACAATCTGCATATATTAATCACCGTTACTTATCTTGTTTTGAAATTTCATTTTGTTCCTCCTTAAAAACAAGAGACAAAATCATAGTTAAGATAGTTTTACTACTAATTGCTATTAGTTCATTAAAGATATTTATGCCTGGGGCCGGGGAGATGGCTCAGTGGAATAAGTGCTTCCCTGGCAAGCACAAGGGCCTGAATTCAATCCCTGTTCCCCCCCCAAAAAAGATTTATGCCTATATTATTTGATCAATTTTTCATGCTTATATTTTGTAATATGAGCAGGTACTTTGAAGATAACAGAATACAGTGTATTAGCCAACAAGAAAGGTCACAGTTGGTCTAAAAATCCAGTTGAAACTTTGGTTCAAAAATACTGAATTGTACATGCAATAGCCTATATGATGTGCCTTTTTACTTATACTTGTACAATGTGCCATTGTTATTTATTCTCTTATAAATCATATTTATGAGCAAAATAAATGTTATAAGTAAATACAGCAGTCAGTATACATCCTTATCTTCAGTTTTTAGAAAAAAATTTTATGTTTCCACAACAAAGAGATCATGCTCACGCTTCATCTACTTGAAAGACAGTGTATGTTCATCAGGAAATCTGTCTTGCAGGGTTGCAGGGCGCCTCATTGCTGGCTTACTGTCTCTTTTTTCTTGTCATTTACTTTGTGAAATAAATGTCTGAAGATGTGATTTTGCTCATCTTAATTTCCACATCTCAAAAATTTGTACTTCCATCCCCTGTTCTTCCTTAAACTATAGCCAAGGATGAGCATAGGTAAGAGAGGGCAAAGGAAGTGGAGACTGCTGCATCTCTGGCTTTTACGGCTGGGTGGAAGGCAGCTGTGCTATCTGCCAAGGGATGGGGAAAGGAGAGTGAGGGAAGGGGAGAAGAGAAGAGAGGAGGGGCACTCATTCATTCATGGTACGATGGTGCATAATGTGTTTGGGGCACTCGTATGGAAATATCATTTGGTCATCGGATGAACGGATCAGTGCTAGAGATAATAGGTCGGAGCCACCAGTGTGGAATTAAAAGCATGGGAGAAAATGAGATGTCTCACAAGGAGGTTAGGAAGAGTGAAAGGAGAAGAAGGCCAAGGACAAACCCCGGGAGCACAGACAAAGTGGCCTGCATGGGGGCTGTGAGGGCCAACAGCAGACACTCCCAAGCTTAGGCCTCCTTTCTTACTTCATCAGAGTTCTGATGAAGAAAATGGTGCACAGCTTCTAGGTATCTCATGAGGGTGTGCACTCTGCGACTAATGAAACATGGTGAAATAGAGAATTTTGAGGTAAACTCCAAGGCCAAGAGATCCTGAAGTGAAGACTCTGGCCTTTGCTTCCTGAGCACATAGTTGTAAAAAGTCTTCCCACATCTCCTCTGTCAGCAAGAATACAAGCCTTGTCAATGTGCATTCAGAGAACTGTTGAGTCTCAGAGTCCCCAGGACTTTTGGTGCCATGGGGGACTTGTACAAGAACAGTGTATTAGTCCATTTACTGTTTCCATAACAAAATATCTGAGATTGAGTAACTGACAATGAGAAAAGGTTTGTTTTGCACCTGGTTCTGCAGGTCTAAGAGCATGGCCCCTGCATCTGCTCTGCCTCTGGTGAGGGCCGAGCGCTGCTCAGGTCATGGCAGAGAAGAGGAAGGGAAATGGCTGTGTGCAGAAGCATCTGGGGTGGCCTTCCCTTATGACCCACTCTTGCAAGACCTAATGCATTCTTGTGAGTGCCAGAACTCTCTCTGCCCAGTCTCATGGGGGAGGCATGGAGCCTTCTTTTTATCCTTGAAATCCTGGGGATTGAGCCCAGGACTTTTGTAGTGAGCTACTTCCATCCCCAGCCCTTTCTTGTTTTTTGAAACAGGATCTTGTCAAGTTGTTCAACTGCTAAACCTGAACTCAAACCTGCCATCCCCCTGCCGCAGTCTCCCAGAACGCTGGGATGACAGGCCTGTGCCACCACACCTGGGTACTGCTCCCTCTTCATGAGGGAGCATCTCTGGAAGGCCCCACCTCCCCACATCATGGCACTGAGGACTGAAGCATCAGTATGAGTTTTGCTGGAGACAAGCTGCATTTGGAGCATTGCAAATCCATAGATGAGCATCTCAAGTTCTTTCACACTTCTATTAATTTTCTGCAGTAATACAGCACGTTGCTGGCTCCTGCCTGGGCTGATTGGGTGTTAGGAAAGAGAAAATGAGGCTGGCCAGCCAGCAAGCTCTGGCTGTTGCCACATTCCTCAGGGTGGGCCCTGAGCCAGGTTGTAGGTGCTGGCTCCTTCCCTGGAGTTGTGCTGTCTATCCTATGCGAAGGGCCCACTGCAGATTGGCAGCCTTGCTCCAACACTGTGCGACCCAGAACCTCAAATATACAGATGCATCCACAGGGGTGATGGAGCGCCTAATGAGGACATTGTATAGTTGGTATTTTCCTGATTTCTTGATATTTTTATTTGTTTATTTTTTTTGGTACCGGGGACCAAACTCAAGGCCTTGCTCTTGCCAGATGGGTGCTTATGCTGCTGAGCTAACTCCTCGGCCCCTTGATATTTTTAAAGAGGGCTAATTTAACTGATCTGGACATGCCACACCCCCAGGCATTTACAAGGACTCTGAAGCCCTGCAGAAGTGTCTAGAGCACCTTGCCCGGCTGAGGCCCTTCCGCGGTACAAGCTCTGGGCATCACCATGTTATGAGTAACAGGGTGATGGGGGTTGGACTCTCCACCAACCGCCTTGCTCAGCCCGGACTCATCCCCATATTCCACTCCTGTGCTCCAC